AAAGATCTGGAGGATCTACCTGCAATATTCGTTAGCCTCCTGAAACATCGTAGCTGAGAAATCTTTTGAAACATTATTTTTGAGTTAAACAAGCAAGCATGAATGCAATGAATGGTCTGTCACTAGTTTTAGGATTCTGAAGACTTAAAAGGAACAGCTCAGTCTATCATTTCCAGCTTATATCTAGTTAGCCAAATGGGCACTTGGGTGCACAAAAGTAGACAATGTCCAAATGTTATTTTATGGGCAAAACTCCAAATATAGGAGGTACACACTCATGAATCACGTACCACTCCTTACTAAGAATTTCACACAAGTTTGAAATCTGTCATTATGTTTCAGGTACTTCATTTTCTAAAGGTTTATGCAAGGCTCGAGTCTACAAACACTGTAAGTCAGAGTCCATCTCCTGCTCCAGTACACCACAATGTTGTACTTACTCAACTGATGACAAAAAACTTTGCACATACATAGTGAGTGTCAACTTCTCAAAGTTGGGTTAAAGAAAAATACAGAGGGCATAATTTTAAGTGATCTCCTCGGAGCACTCAGAGGAACTACTGATTTATCCCTGGCTCTTTCCTACTTCCTAACAAGGGAAGAACTCTTCTTGTCACAACAAGTCTATGTCAGATTTACTGAAGAACACTTTCCTCCAGAAATAGAAAGGGAGTAGTTGTATGTGTTAAAACATAAAAACACTCCTAGATCCCTCCTTTCATGCTATGGAGATAGAATGGTAGCATTTCCAACTGGCCCTGAATAGCTCCAGTTCCAGGATTAGAGCTTGGCCCTTTAAGATTTAAGGTTTAGGACAGTGCCTACACAGCTTAATTATTTATCTGAATCTAGAAAGTATGTGTGCACACAAACTTGTAAAAGTCTCACGTATTACATTACCTACCATCAACTAACAGACAAAGAAAGAACGTAATATCCACACTACAAACAACGTACACAAAGCTGTAGTTATTTTAGTGCACACGCAAGGCTAACAGTCAGTTTAAAGGATATGTACTAGGTGCAACACATTACATTTTATCTATCATGAGAGCAAATGGTTTGATTCTTGGCCAGTGCTAACAGAGAATTCTTACTCACGGATGACAGGCGCATGCCCCCAGAATACATGCAATTTCTGTAAAGCTAGTTTATATTCCAAACAGCTGATACTTATCACACATGCAGACACAAATAATTGAAGTTTATTTTGTAACTATGACAAGGCTTAAGAAAAAAAACTTTCTTAACTACAACTTTAAAGGTTTGGGTTTGGAGAAGGATACACAAGGACTCTCTTGATACCTCTCACTTGCAAGCCAAACTCTTAACTAGTCATATACTCTAGTTCTGGGTTATCAATGAATTCCATCTGCTATAAAAATGGTATTAATTGAGCCAACAGAGGGAAAACATGACGGAAATAAATAATACATGAACTTCATGATTCCAAAAAGTTATCAGAGGAAATTTTGATCGAGGTAATATCAGTAAAATACATTAAAAATATCATACTTTAATCAAAAATATCTTTGAAGGATAACCTCTATGTTAATGAAAAACAAGGTGTGACACATCAGTAGTTTGGAAATTACCCTTTCACTTTCCTAAAGTAAGAAAGTGGCCAATGTTCCGCATTTCCTTTGGTCTTCCAAGCACTTTGTTACAATTAATCAGAAATGTTCACACTGGACTGTTGAAACAACATATAATTCAATGTCTGCCTTTCAGTAATAATACTGTGATAGCTTTGATAGCCATATAAAGGACAGTAATTCTTGTTTCTGATTTTCCATACAGGTATGACTGTTGGAAAACTCTCAACAAGTAACTAAAGCACAAAGAATGAGTAGAGGAATTAGCAAACAAGAGCTAATAATAATAATTAAAAAAATTCTTCTGAACATTTTACTTAAGATTTCCCATAATATTACTCTTTTGCCTCAGTCAGGGTTTGAATTTGTTGTTCTCAATCTGGTATAGGTAGTCTTATTAAGATTGCGAACTATTACAGTATCTAAGGCTTTAATTTTAAATAAACGGTATAATTTGAGTTTGTTCTTAAATACAGTTATCACGAAAAGCTGCCTGAACTTTTTGATCATGTTTATCTCAAAAGAATGTTCAGCAGTACTGAAAGCAAAATTGTTAAGAATAGTAGGGTTTTATAGATGACATCACGTAAAAGAGCACTGCAGATGGGCTGCTGAAAACCAGACTGGAAAGTCTGATGGAATGAATTTAGATGCCCAAAAAAAGGAGATGAATGCAAACCTTATTAAGTACACGTCCTTACTTCAGGCATGTCATTTAGGTAGTCTAGAATAATGGTGCACAGGATGATGAGCATGCTCTACTGCAACTCTTGACCTCTCCTTTCCCATAATCTCTGAATTACAAGCCGTGCTTGCTGTCCTAACAGTGCAGGGAAGAGTCAATGAACAAACAATAAAATACACACTTGGCTTCATTTCCAAATAGGCCTGGAACATTAACAAGCATGGCTAACATTCAAGCTATTATTTAGGCTTTTCACTACCCACCAAAATTAGTGAGAAGGTAAGAGCATAAATGGGTGGCTGAAGTTCTAATACACAGATATATATGATGCATCTATGATTCTATGGTTTTATGCTTTCATTCATAGCCTGCATCTCCTGTATCAAGTGTAGAGAGGAAAATGTTTACCGATTACTACTTTTCCAGCCACAACTTCCTTTCTTCGCTGTCATATCAAATTTCTTTTCATGGATTTGATAGAGATTTAAAGCTATCCAACTGCAGTGAAGAAGAAAAAGTGTGTCCTTCAAAATAGAATACCATATGGTATCTGAAGCACCTTTTCAGGTCCTGATCCAAAACTTAATATATCACTGTATATATTGCACAAATTTGCATCAGGTCCATCCAAAGTGTTTTGTTCTTGCAGGAATTTCATACTGTAATATAAAGTTAAGCTCTAGCAGACTGCTGGCTAGTTCCATCAGCCTCTTCCAAGTATGCAGTTTTGTTCCGTTTCAAGTGCCAGCTTGTATCTGTCCCCACTCCCAATTCTTTTGCATGCCTTCTACATCTTACGAGTGTGCCTATTTCGCTCATGCCATGCACTAGCAATTTAAAACCTAGTAAGTCTGTAAAACCTTTCTAACCTGTCATTCCTCCTTCTGCAGTAACATTTTGGTATCTGCATCTGTGTACTTTAGAAAGCCTATCACTTGTGCACCTTAGGTTAGGTATCACCTACTATTCCTGTCATGACAGCTAGCTAGCAACAAACAGCAAGACCAAAAACGTGTTGGAAGAGCTCTGCAATAGACTAGACCTCACCTTTGATTCAAGCAGGGTCCAGATCTTTTCAGCTACCAATAAGTCTCTGAGTCAACGGGAAGAACAAGGGCATTGATCGTGCCTGTAACTTAGCTGAGGATTTGTCAAGAGTTACAGACTTAGCCTCTTTACTTACAAAAAAAGCTACAGGCCTATCCCAGGGTGTTCCTGAGGTGCACAGGCATGAATGCTGTATCACAAAGAGGGTTCTCTGCAGTTAGCCAGTCTACTGCCATGCTGGAAAAATTTAATCTTTGCTTGTATAACAATGTGCTGTTTTCTTTTTTGGAGTGTGACAGGTAAGCAGTGCAACAAAGGAGTGTGTGCTCCTTCACTCCACTGAAACTTTTCTTCAAGAGCAATAAGTTAGTTAGACTTCAAAAAGCTTCTCATCCTGAGCATCCTTAGATACGTCAAAAATCTTCCCAGATGAGTAGAGTCAATCATGGGAAAAAGATATTCAAATCCTTACAATAGCATGTGCTGAGTCTTCGGCAAACTTCCTTCCCTCCTCAAAACAAAAACCAAAACAAATTATAAACAAACAAAAAATCTTCAAGTTCATGAGGAAGTCCTTGTATTTGCACATTGCTGTTTGCGTTCAGGCTGATGCATGGGTTCAAAGGGTCATTGGAGGCTGAATTACAAGACAGGCCAAATGTCAAAAAAACAAAACATGAACAGTTAGGGACTGAAAACCAGCGCGCTTTCTGTATATGGGCCAAATACAGATTGTGACCTGCAAGAAATGTGATGACACAGATCAGAGTATACAGCTTATGACTCTGAAAGGCATGCTGATCAGAGTGAGAGAAAAACTGTAAACTTATCAGCCTTTATCCACAGTCAAAACATTAAAATCAGTGCATCTTTTTGAAAACAAGCAAAGCAAAACTACTAGAAGGTGTTTTTAAATACTCCAAAATATATCTTTTATAATTTTACAGACAGAGCAATACGTCAGAGTACTTGTTCAGCTCTCACAGAAAATTGAACTGGCCTTTTCTCTCTTGTTTAACCAGTAATATGTATGCACACATATACAAAGACAAAAAAAAAAAAAAAAAAAGGAGAAGAAGAAGAGTGATTTTTATTCCTGTTAACTCGTTTTGGCAATCTGAGCCAGAGGCAGGTCACACCCAGCTGCCTGTACCTTAAATGTATGCAATTGTTTTTTCCATAGAAATATAAAGCTATTCCCATCAATAAAATCACAACCGAGTGAGGCAGCACAGAGAAACAAATCCTTTGGCTTCAGACAAAACTAACAGAACACGTAGCCTGGGTATAACGGTATATTTTTCTGTGTGATTAATTACAATTCATTATAATTAATTATGTGGATATTAATATTATATATTTCCTTAATACAAAAGGCCATAAACTTCCATTGCATGTGTTAGAGCTTAAAGGGGATATATGCCAATGCATGTGCACAACATTCACTTAATAGCAATCTGATTGGCAGTGTTTAGTCATATTCAAGGTTTTAAAGCATAATTAGTTCAAATTTGAGAACAGATTACAAAAAGACCTAGAAGACTTTCTTAGCAAGATCTTGTTCCTCACCCACCACGTTAGTACATTAGCTCCATCTAAATCCAGCCAGTCAGAAACGCACTACAGTAAACACAATAACAACGCAGAAAGAATAGACACGAGGACAGTAAGGGTTGGTATTTGCCACCTCCTTCTGCTGACATAAATACATCAGAACCTGTATTGTCACAAAAATATGTTTTTCCTTTTTTTTTTCTTTTCAGTTTTCATAAATGGTGTATGAAATTTACAGATTAGCGCCTTATATAATACAACAACTTACTCCACAATAATACACTGTTGAATCTTTTAAGGAAAGTGCCAGATCCCATAAAAGACATTTTTTTAAAAGCCCCAGAACAGTAGTGAAATCAAACTGCCTAAGTAATGGCATACTTTTCAGAAATGCTGCTATGAAAGAACCTTTTTTCAGAGGGTTCTCTTCTACAACCTCAGAGCAACTGGATATTTAGGAATGTTTGAATTTTTTTTTAATTTATTTTTTATTTTTTGCTCGGATTGACAAAGTGTGGCATAACAGCTCTTGACATTGCTTTTTTCTTTGTGTCTAAAGAGCTCAACAAAATGATGTCCTTTTTGTACTGGTACGTTTTCTTTTGCCAATATACACATAAGGAATGTAATGAAGTGGTGCTATGCTGCAAGTTGCTCAGCAGATGTTAAAATCAGTTCCAGTTTCTGAAAAAAACTTCTTGAACACATAGTCTTAGCATTCACAATAACTGAAACACGTGGGACTCATCTATGTCATTCTTAAAAATATATTCTCTCTTTCCCTTTCTCCCCCTGTATTTTAAACCTTCAAGCCTTACTTGCTTCCTTGTACTTTATGATCATATGTGCCTGCATGCTTATAGCCAGATACATATCCTGAAGTATCAACCAGATCTTCTCGGCCAGCTTTGCCTTTTCCTTTCCCACTGGGATCAAACCTCTCTTTGTGAGAACCCGTGAATTTTGATGTATCTGTAAGGCGTGACACAGTTGGAGAAGAAATCGCTTTCTATGAGAAGAAAAAGACAAGAAAATACACATCAGAAATCAAGTACTCTCAAAACAGGTACCGTTCACAGTAACGAGGCTACCAATGGAGAGTATGTAAATTTCTACACATTTCTAGCAAAACTAAGCAAAAATATTTATTGGCAATATATTTAACTACAATAAGCATACAGCCAAGAACAAAATAGCACAAGGAAAATTTTGGTGGAGACTTCCAACATGAGACACTTCCAATTAGTAACGAAGTTTCAATACTGAAGACATGAACACGCCATAGGGAGCTGCCATGTTTAAAACCTGTTAACTCAACATCCAAGCACAAAGGCCCAGCTCCAGCAATTTAGAATGTTTTAGTTTCAGCAAAACAATGTAACTAGAATTCCTTATTTCAAGAGACTGAAATTTATTCTAAGCTGTAGGGGTTAAGAGAGAATTAACAAATAAGGAGGACTGAATGTCAGACTTTCTCCCGTGCTGTTTTGAATAATACAAGAATACTTAAAATCAAAGTTTTGCTGTCACTGAGACAAAGACAATGTGAGTGCACAAATAACGTATTTCACAGAACCGTATGGGAGCACACCACGTGTGTGCTTGAACTGGGAATGGTCACTTCGATCTTTAATTTACATTTTAAAATCAGAAGACAAAGCATACTAAAAGAAAAGGGAAAAAAAGATTTTTTATTCCAGTGAAAATGGTGCTAAGATGAATAAAGTAATACAATTTGGGTATCCTTGTTTGTGTTACCATATGTTAGGATGCATTTTATAGATAAAAGTGACACTGGCTTCCTTGAAGCGAAGTAAATGTGCTGGGAAACACCCTTCATCAAAAGCTTTGCTCCCCACCACCCCCATCTTCAGCCTAAATAAGTGTTCATTAAAACCTAAAGGCTCTCAAAATAACACATAATTCTTCCACAGAGTAAAGTAGCTTGAATGTCTTGAAAAGCTAAACATAAAAACATCAGAGACTTGGAAAACACACACCAAGAGAACAGAATACGTAGATTAGCCTAGAACGAAAGCTGCAACTGAGTCTTGTTCACCAGAAAAGCCACACATCCTCCACACCACTGAAATAAAAGCTGTTTTGAGGGAATTTGTCTGCCCACATGCATTACTTACTGAGAATCTCATACTATAAACTCCTGCTTTTCTCCCTCCTAACATGTACAATACTGCTGTGCTCTGCAGCGTTGCTTTTACATTATGTCTTGAGGGGAAAGACAACGCAGAGGAGGAGTTCTGTCACTGAAAGAAAATGACTTCTGGAGCATATTTTTCTTAAAAAGCACTGCTCAATGACCTTTGGGAACTTCTGCTCAGTAGTCTCAGTGTACTATTTGCAGCTGTAGCCATTTTTCTGTATTGAAAACAGAGAATAAGACTATGCCTATGAAGAAGTATTGCAAGAAAACATACAGCTTTCTCACACATATTGGCCTGCTAGCAACTTCTAACCAGAAAACCCATGTTCACAGCTGAGCTAAGTAGGAAAAAAATTATGTTGTGATCAGTAATTGTGTTAAGCAGCTCAGCCAGGTAAAATGAAAATGTAATAGACTGTATAAGCTGAGACATCATGAGTAGCAAGGTAAAAACTCCCAGCCCGGTGCCCAACAAAGAATTTGCTCTGCTTTCCTCAAAGTATTAGTAAATTGAACATGCAAGATACCGTCACAAGGGAACTCTGCCCACTGGAGATTATTATATAAAAACAAACAAACAAACAAAAAACAACAAATGAACACACTTCTGTAAGATTGTCTCCTTCATAATGCTGTTTTGTAGACTAGCTCTGAGACATGAAAATGTTCTGTTATAATTTGTTCTTCACCTGCAAGTCAAGCACTTTCTCAATGTTCAGCAATATAGTCAATTATAGAAAGGTGACAGAACAGCTCTATGCTTTAGCATCCCTATGACAAATCTTAAAAGAAAAAAAATCATGCTGGGACAATGGTTCTGACCTTTGTCTTCATACGTATTAACCGAAATTTTAAAATACTGACATGCACACGTGTGAGAATAAAAAAAAAGTCAAAACTCTAAATAAAAGGTTCACTGACACCACGGAAGAAAAAGAAACTGTTTTTGTCCAGAAAAAAAAGAGAAAAGTTAAACCCTAAAGCCCCAGAAAAAGCAAAATCACAAATCCAGAGCAACAGCAACAGTGATGCCACATCATGTGCTCTTTCAGCCCAAGATGGATCAGAAGGCTTCCTATATCAGAGGAGTTACAATGCTTTAAACAAGCATAAGAGCAATTGATGTGAAGTATGAAGACTTTCTCCAAGTTGCTTTTGAATGAGTAATTCCTGAAGTCTTTCCTAAATTAAATGTGAAAATCAGAGATAATAAACTGTCATAATAAAGCTATGCTATTCACCTTGCTTCTCCCTTCTGTTCTCCTTCTGTGCTCCTGATGACGAATGCTTATACTAAAAGCAAAACATTCCTTCTCCTTTGGGTCACAAAAACATTAAACACAAGGGCAGGGCTCAACTAAGCATCCTGTTTATTTATTTTCAAAATCGACTTTGCCTCTGTAAATACGGAGTAGAACATACACAGTATAAAATGTTTCTCTTTTTACTATCATTTTTATCATGAATGGCCTTTATGAACTCAGTGTGCACACCTTCCATTTGCTTGCAGGAACAAAAGCATGACCAGCAGGTTGAGGGAGGTGACTGCACCTCTACTCTTCTCTCATGAGACCCCACCTGGAGTACTGCATCCACTTCTGGGGCTCCCAACACAAGAAGGCATCCAGCACTTGAGGTGGGTCTAAACGAGGGCCATGAAGATCATTGGAGGGCTGGAGCTGCTCCCCTATAGGGACAGGGTGAGAGAATTGGTGGTCCTGAGCCTGGACAAGAGAAGGCTCCAGGGGGACCTTACAACAACCCTCCAGTAGACATAGAGGAAAGCTGGGAAGGAACTTTCTATAACGCCATGTTGCATAGGGGGAAATGGCTTTAAACTGGATGAGGGTATATTTAGACTAGATATATGGGAGAAACTCTTTACTGCAAAGGTACTGAGACACTGGGACAGGTTGTCCAGAGATCCTGTGGATGTCCCCACTCTGAAGGTGCTCAAGGCCATCCTGGATGGAGTTTTGAGCAACCTGGTCTAGTGGCAGGTGTCCTCTGCGTATAGCAGGAGGGTTGGAACTAGATAATCTTAATGGTCCTTTCCAATCCAAACCTATGATTCCATGATTCTTTGATAAAATCAACCAGCACCTCCAAAAACTCTACAGAGACTAAGCTGGCAACCAAAGGGGAAAAAAAATGTAAAACCTATTTTCATTACTAATTCCAGTTGGGTATTGCAAGACAAAGAAAATAAAGGGAGTGAGGGAAATAGGGGAAGAGAAGCTGACCATCATCAGTGGGAGAAATACAAAAAATACTGTGACCAGCACAAAGAGCTGAATGAGGACAATTTCCACTTGAGCAAGTAAGCACTTCACCTTCTTTTCCGCTGGGATTCACAGACAAATGATTCTGTCTCATCACATAGCAATTCTGCTCCTGATCACCAACTGCTGGAACTGCTTACTATCTACAGTAAGTTACATAATCTAGTTATACTTTTCTAGAGGCAATAAACTACTTGGAGCAACTTCTCTTTTTCCATTTTGTGAGCTGACAGAAGCCTTCATTTTTCTTCTGCTCTGTCTGCACATAGAGTTCACCACAAAGTAGGCATACCACAAAAGATACACGTGTACATAAACATCTCACTTCTTCTTTTTAAAACTCTCATTACGAAAAAATGTTTTATTTTGCACAACAAACTTAAGTACAATGAATGCGTAAACTGTTGGAACATCAAGCAAACCTGCCAGCATACCTCCCAAAATATCAACACTTTTGTTCTCCAAGACCAACCATTCTTCCATTCACTCACATAACTGTTTTCATTAACACAAGCCTGCAGTGTAACCTGTATTTTCACAGGTACTTTCCTGGAAAGCTGCTTTTTAACTGTATCTCCAAATTGGTGGAAGCACCCCAGATGAGTCAGGAATGGCATGCATAACCGTTCCCCATCCCTTTCAACTGAGTCTCCCCTCACACTACAGTCATACTGAGAAGATAGCAGGCCATTGTCTCAGCAGAAGCTATAGAAAGTAAAAAGGAATTGTCTTTACACTAATTGATTCAGTGGTTTAAAATGATTGCGTAGCTTTTGTTAGCAATTCACTACTCTTTCCCACCTTGCAGAGAAGGGCTGATAAAACAGCGAGGAACTTGGAGTGTGTGCCATACAGGGAAGAGCTCAAGGAAGAGGGTTTGTTCAGTTGCAGTGGGTGGGAAGGAAGGAATAACCCTTCTGCTGTTTTCAACAGTGAAGTTACAGAATAAACAGTTTAAAAGTGCACAGTAGGAAGAAAGAAAAATATCTTTTTAAAAAAGGGAAAAGCATAGATAACTGTCGTAATTTCGAACATGGGAAATTATAACTAGATGGGAATTTTTTCCACGTGGAAAAAAAATTCTTCACCACTAGGTGAAGGCTAAGCCTAGAAACACCTTGCCCAGAGAGATTTAGGGATTCTATGTCACTGGACATTTTTGCAGCTTAAATTCATAAAACACAAAATGACCTAGAAGAAAACCGCATTTGAGACTGGATGCAATGCAAGCCCTTACTAACAGCAAAGCTCAAAAGAAAGCTTCTGAGAGCTTGCTCAGAAACTACTACAGTTCAGTCACTGTATTATTTATTTGCTGGTAACATCCAGACACTTTGTAAAGAATGACAACCAAGAAAAAAAACTTTTCAAAGGGAAGGTGGTTTTTTGCTGTCATTTTTTGTTGTTTTATTTTTTTTCCAATATTTTTTCAATTTTCTTTTCCTTCCCTGTTTTCATGAACACATCAAACTTGAAAGAAAAAGCTAGATTTCATGGATGCTTCTTCCTCTCAGCACACAAAAAGAACGTGATAACTAACTCATCACCGGACGTCCCTTGCATGTG